ATTGCCTTCTGACGAGGCTGACAAAGCTTTGTCTCCCGCCGGTGGAGTAACATGAGATGTCTTGCCGGCTATGTCAAATCACAACAACTGCTGCTGTCATTGTTGCTGCTAGCCGTGCTTGGCAGGCTTCGTGAATGCAATTGTGGTATGTCTCTGCAGCTCAAGGTGCAGAACGGTCATGTACTTTAGCAACGCCTGATATGCCTCCCACATCTGACATTTTGCAAAATGCCCCGCCTCATCGTTCAGTGTAGGGGTAACGCTGGCTGTCGCCTGCTGTTCACGGCAGAGTCACTTCGAGTCAGATGCTTGTGCAGCAGCAGCGGGCCAATCAGGCCTGATGGATGGCTGACTGAGCAGCTGTCGCCGATTCCTTTCTGCCGTGGCAGGTTGGCAGGGTCATCTGAGCAGCCTTTCTTCGGGCACCCTTATGACATTTTTGCTGCGGCCTTGGCTTCAGGAAAGGTGGTCGCCGATGCCTGGCGTCAGTCTTCACTGCTGCTGAAATGAACATAATGAACAGATGTGCGCTTGACAGCCTCATCCTTGCTCGTGGGGCCAATGCTCGCTGAAGCCTGAAATTTCTGCTGTCACCAGTGCAATAATCGCAGGGAGTCAAGCCATGGCCAAGCATCGCTGACCTCGTCTTTGGAGGTTGGTGCCGCGGTGGCCTGGAGACGCAAGGGTTCTTGCGTTAATCAGCAGGTTCGGTGAGCCTGCCTCATCCATAGCAGTCGGAGCAGCACTCTTGGGCACCTGCGTTCCATTTATACAGGGCATGGCCTGATGTGTTACTAGCAGTCAACTGCAATGCCTGGCGTCAGTCTTCAGTGCTTCTGAAATGAACATAATGAACAGATGTGCACTTGACAGCCTCATCCTTGCTCGTGGGGCCAATGCTCGCTGAAGCCTGAACTTCTGCTGTCACCAGTGCAATAATAGCACGGAGTCAAGCCATGGCCAAGCATCCCTGACCTCGTCTTTGGAGGTTGGTGCCGCGGTGGCCTGGAGACGCAAGGGTTCTTGCGTTAATCAGCAGGTTCGGTGAGCCCTGCCTCATCCATAGCAGTGGGAGCAGCACTCTTGGGCACCTGTGTTCCATTTCCACATGGCATGGCCTGATGTGTTACTAGCAATTTTAGAGAAACTGGAATTGAGGGTCTGCACGTTCGCAGTGCTCGTCTCTCCTGTGGGCAAATCCAACTCAGTTGGCAGGCTGTCATAGGCAGCATCAAGCCTTAGCATTGCGCAGGCTGGATGCCACTCGAAGCATTTTAACCAGCCTCCTGCAAGCCTGAGAACCGAACAGTCGTTCCAAATCCTCCTCCAACATCTCCTCATCCTGTACAAGGCCACAGGTCCAGAGTCTGCCCCTCATGTAACACAGCCTAGCTTTCCGTGCGTGGCGACAGCAACGGGTGCAGGTGCCTGTTGCTCGGCCCCTTGAGAGTCCGCACCAGGAGCAGCAGATTTCAGCTCTCCTGGCACTGGATCCAGAGTGCCAGTAGAGTGCCAGTGGAACTGGCCCTAATCATCTTCCATTCCCCCCCCGGAAGAGGGTCCATTAAAGCAGGTGTAGACCTATTTCCGCGACATTGCGTGTTCCGGAGGGTTGAACCACTGTCGCAGCGCGAATGGAGATCTCTGAGGCTCATTTGCCGATGAGCACTTGCACATGCACAGCACTGTGTCATCATCAAAGCGTCCCACACCTTGCAATACCCCTTCCCGGACCTATTTCTGAACAGACCCCCACTGCCACAATCATAGCTCTGGAACAAGCGAGGAATAGGACAGACATGGACAAACAGACGTACAGTGACCCCCCCCTCACAGAGAGATTATTTAAGGAAGGAATTTTCTCCCTGCATGTGCCTGCCCCATTCACGGCGCCTTCAACCTCCAAAGGTGGCTCATCATGCTCAACCGCTCAATGCATGCAAAGTTGCGGCCTTGGCCTTCTTTGAGGCTGGCTCATCCTGCCAAACTCAAGCAATGCCAAGTGAGGGCACGTCTGGTAGCATACTCTGGAATCCCGCCTCTGCTGGGGCGCCACGGCCTGATTCTCATTATGTACCCCTCCCGCCCAACAGGGTATTTCTTTGTCTTTGCCAATTGCTTCACAGCCCGATGTGCGTGTAGCAACCTCTCAACTTGGTCGTATGGCATGGTCTGTAGCAATGCAAATAGAAGTAGCAGTGACTCATCGGAGTCAGAGCTATCATCTAAGCTGTGTTCTAATTCTATGCCTTGTGCTTAAGAAATTTCCACCAACCTGCCCGCGGGCTCAGTTCCACAAAAACTCTTGGCTCTCCTAATCAGGACTTGCGACAACTTCTCATGTTTGGCCAACGACAGCTGCCTCGATGCTTCCGCGAGAGGGATTACAGTTTTCATGCTGAATTTTCCAACATGTCAACCCAAGCTTCACAGCCAGGCTCAAGAGTTTCCACAAACGACACACTCCGGCAAAACCTGCCACATGCTTTCACGCACCTCATGGGAGCAAAGTTTTAGAAACAGTTCCTGGAATTGTGTTCAACTTGTAAGTCAGTATGCATTTCAGGAACAATTCTTGGAACTGTTTTCAATTTGTATGTCAGTATGCCAACGCAAAGCATTCCTTCAAATTCGCCCAAGTGCTTAACTTGGCTTCTCCCATGGACTTTGCGGATAGACTGACGACGGTATAGAAATAAGGAATAGACATGGCTGCTTGGGGTTCGTGCCGCTTCCCTTGGCCGGCATCAGTTGAAGCTCCACCAGACGTTTCCGCACCTATGCATAAATAAACTGTTTCCGCTTCATTCACGCCAAAACTAGATGGCAAACAAAGTCATCTCCCCCGGAACCTGCAGAGATGTTCGCTTGTCGGGCTCAGGCAGGTCACCAACCAGCAAGTCGGCATAAAGCAGATGTTCTCTATACCTCAAGCCAGCGCACACTTCCACAACAGCTTCTGCCAGACTAATGATTGATCCAAGGCACAGGGGATAGCGCTGCCGCAGTACAGCATCTTCCTCTTCTGTCCATCCCTGTCCCTTCATCAGGTCGGCCCGCCTTGGGAACTACTCACCCAAGGCATATACTGCATCCACGGAGGAAGCAGTTAGGACCGCACTGCTTTCGAAGCGTATTAACCGTGTCTCCAGCATCAATCCTGCAAGACATGGTTGCAGGCGATCACGAGCTTGCATGCCAGTGAACGATGAAAAAACTCTTTTTGCAAGCAATAATCAATTGCATTTGCCAGACTGTGCCAACCAATGCATGCTGCAGTCGCCCCAAGGATGCCGCACGATGGCACACTACTTCAGCTGTTGAGATGCCCTCCCAGGTTGCAAGCTGTCCTGTCCAGGACCTTGCGGTAACTCTCTTCTTCGTAGTTGCTGAGAATCGCACCGAATTCAGCAGCACAAGTCCTCAAGTTCAAATGCAGAACCCGTCACATGGATAATTGCGGAACCAAGATTAAGACCGCTAATGGTAGTGATCTGAGCATAGCGCTCCAGTGCATCCTTCTGACTTTCCTGCACTTTGCGGAAAAGCCTGGACTCAGTCGCACAGGCCAGCAGTGCGTTGTGGCGTGGTGTGGTGGCTTCTTTGAGCACGTACATCATTGAGGTCCCCACAGTTCAGCGAAGACACATTTGTTACTTTCAGCACACTTGAAAAACTCACGCAAGATGAATCGGAGCAGTCCTTGGGACAGGAGCTCTCAAGCTTTGGACCTGCCACCTGGCTTTGGCACATGGTTGCATCTTGGCTGCAGACCGATGAGGTCTTTGTATCTCTCTGAGTTCTTTGTGCTGGTCAGCAAGGGATCGGTCATGATGCGCTGTATACCTGAGCTATGTCTTGTGATGCAGAGCCAGCTGACATCTAGAAACCTGAAGCCATTCTCAGGAAGGCACGCATGAAATAGGACAGCTCGAAAAACAAGACAATGTTCGTGGGCTGTGCCTCGCTCCATAGCACTTTGACATTGCTGTGAAACTAACCCCAATCTCTCCAGGCTACATCCATGATGCTCCGGATCAGCTTGACAAGCATGGACTGCAGCAGAGGTGTGTGGCGTCGATACCTTCAATGAGAACGGCCAATGCAAGCAGGACAAGCGGACTGTCGCACAGCGGCTTGCTTCTCCAGCAAGTGGAAGAGGTTTTCAACGACTCTGGAGTCGGAAAGGCCTTTGTGCAGCGGAAGCTGCTTGACCGACAGCAGTGCACTCAGTTAATATGTTCATGTCTTCGGGCCTGCAATCTCCTTCTCAACTGACGTGGTCGAGCGCATCATGTGCACTCCGCGGATCTTTTCTACCTGGAACTGCCACAAGTTCAGGGTTGAACTCTTGAAACCATGCAAGCAAGGCCAGTACCTGGAATTCCGCTTCAGCTCCCCTGCCAGTCACGCCCAGCTAAAGATCCTCTCTCTAAGGCTCGAAGGCTTTGCGATACAAGTAACACATCGACAGGCATGTTCAACGTTGCCTTTCGCCTCGTTTCTCCATCAGCATTGTCAAGGTGTGCCAGGCCTGCACAGATTTTAGTCCGGATTGCAGCTACATTTCATTTCATTTTGCCTCTTCGGTCCCCCGCAAAAAGGATGCCTCCACTGAGTACGAGAGAATGCGAGGATCATGCACAGAAGAGTTGAAGTTCTTCATGATCCAGGAAATGTTTCCCAAGATATCTTCCTGTACGACAGGGGCTTCGGGTTCTAGTCTCGTTCGATGACATGCTCCAAACAATGCTGTCCGGTCCTTAACAGCGTGGGTCACCAAGAGATCTCCACAGTCTCGTGTATCAGAGCCAGAGCACCTGAGCAAGTTGCTCTGCTTCAGCCCATCTCTGCTCGACTTGGCCATGCATGCGCTGGATGCAACCTCTCGGACCAAAGCTCTGTGATGACTTTGATGGTATGGATTTGTGCCGAGAGAGTTCGGAGAACCACGACCAGAAATGAAGAATGAATTTGGGCTCCCTGCACAGCACGGCTTCGTGAGTTGTTGGCACTTGCAAATGCACCACATATCACAACATTGCATTGCCTTACCAAAGTCCCGAAGTCGAGCGGTTGTAAACTGGATCATGTCCAAATCCTCATGTGCTGCAAAAGGAAAAAAAGCCTCTTCGGCGCAGAGTCCTTCAGGCTGCTGCAATGGCCCCTTGGACTGCAGCTATGTCCATGTCAGGGGGCCTGGAGAGAGAGTTGTAAATTGCCGCGACATGCCGCGACACTATGAGGCCAGAAGAATCCTGTGTAGGATGCATACGTTGAGTTTGTCTTCTTGGCTTCTTGGACCTGGCGGCAAAGCTAGGAAGGAGCCATCTCTTGTACATGGGCAGGAATCTAGGCAAACGATAATCCAAGCCCTACAACATTGGGCAAGGGCCTGTGTTGCGTGCTGAACACGATGGAACTCCAAGAACCAGGATACAAAGTTCAGCAAGTGCGGCCTGCTGCGATTGGGTCACTTCCACCGGTCAGCGAAGCCATTGCTATAAGGTCATGGCATGTTGAACTCCGTCGACGTGGCCTTTTCTTTGGTTGAGCCTCGCCAGCGTAGATCACTATTCTGCAAGCTCAGGAGTACTGCTGGCTGGCAAGGAATTTATGATAACTGGGAAACCCCACTGATGGTGCAGCTGCTTCGCATGAAGCTCACTAGCGAGCTGAAGGAGGTCGAGCACAATTGCTCAAAAAAAGTGCGATAGCCTCCGCGTGAAAACAAGTTGCCGGATGCTTGTATTTAACCCATGTCGGCACTACTCTCTCTGCCCCAAAGCGTCCTTGCAGAACCTTCTGCGGGTGGTACGTGCGATCGTCTAGAACTCCTCGCCTAGACACACCAACCATAGACCGACTGAGTAAATGCATGCTGAGACCATGCATATTGGAGCACAGCTAAGACGAGGGCACGTGCGGATTCACCTGGTTGTGCTCCCGGACTGACCTAAGCGGGGAAGGGAACACTCAGATCTGTAAAAGAAGACAGCCGGCATCAGCTGGCACACAGGTTCACAGGAACAAACAGGTGCAGGCATGATGCAACGAGAACCCGTCAGTCATTATCAGAGCAGTCGATCCATCAAATATCATGATATCCGGTAACACAGTCTTCGAAGCCGGTGCAGAGGTGCAGATTGTGGCGAGCACGGTTCAAAATGGGTGCCTGTTGCCAATCTGTTCTTTTGGGGAGCATGGCCTCGCGACCCCTGACGTGCTCTGAAGCTTTCTACACTTCATGCTTAATTGTCCTGCGGTTTGGTACCAAGGGGCAAGCTCTCGAGAAATTAGGCAAAAAAACAGTTCGATGAGCTTTGAAGCAGCGGAAAAACATCCCAAAGAAGTACAGGAAAATTGTAGTCATCCTTGATTTGTGTATGTGTGTATGTATGTCTGTATCTATGTGTCTATGTATGCATGCATGTATTCATGTATGCATGTTTGTGCATCTCGTATGTGTTCGCATGCGTCTGTAAGATTGTTTAGAGGTTGTGCGTTTGTGTGTATGTGTGTACATGTGACTATTTGCGTGTGTGTATGTGGGTGTGTCAATCAAACAAGTCTAGTTGGCTTACACCTGTATGACCCTGTCTCAGCTTGTATGTACTGATCCGAACACTGTCAAGTCAACTGTACACGCGTGATTGTATGTACGTAGCGGAGACGTTTAACACTGGTGTGATTAGCAGCTTCCTCTATCTGACGTCAGAAATTCTAGTGCAGGCTGAGAACTTCAGCTAAAGATCCTTTGCCCGTGCAAACCGCAGCAAAAAAAAGAACCCATCAAGTCAACTCAGAGGAGAATTGCACAAGTACACATGGTTGTGTATGCGTGTGCGCATTTGTAGGTGCATGTGCTCGTGTGCATGTGCAAAAGTACCTGATTGGGTGGGTGTTCAATGTGTGTGTGGACCCCGCTAGGTCAAGCAGGTAGGGGCTGACAGGGCCATGGATTGATGTTGTTGATGATGTTTTTGTTTGTGCTGTTGTTGCTGCTTCATCATGCCCGCGTTGGTCTGCTCCTGGACCCCTGCAGGGGCAGCTGGATGGACCTCATCCCCATCTCATTCATGCTGTGCCATCCATTGTGTCTGGTACAGCAGGGCAAAACTCATACCCCCCATACTCATCTCATTAAGTTTTACAGGTATGCCATTCGGGGTGCGGGGAGTAATAACGGGAACCATTTTGGCCGTAACAGGAACCAGTTTTACGGACTCGTAACGGGAACCAGCCGGGACCGTAACAGAAACCGCAGCCAAAACGTAACCAAAACCAGGCCGCCAAGCAGCCAAAATCGAAACCGGAACCGAGATCCCGGAGCCCAAATCTCGCGAAGTGGGGGACCGAAAATCGGCCCTGTCCAGGAAAACTTTGTTGCAACTTGTTTGTACCTCGCTCTACTATTTTTTCTGCTCGAGCTACCACTAGTGGTGCTTCTACACTCCTTTTTGCAACTTGCTTGTACCTCATTCTAATCATTTTTCTGCGCGTCTTGGCACTAGTACTACTTCTACACTCCTTCTTAAATCCTGAACCTAAACCTTATAACCCTAAACCCTACACTCCAAGCCAGAGCTTTGGATCTTCACCCTCCAATGGTCAGGGCTTAGGGTTTAGGGTGCTGGATCAAGGGGATTCATTCATTATAGGGATAATAAAGGTTGCCATGTGCTTTTTTGTGGGCTATAAGTACCCTTACGACTACTCCTACGACTGCAAGGTATGATGGTAACGAGTACCTAAACCCTAGAAACCCTAAGCACGAAACTCCAAGCCAGAGCTTTAGATCTTCACCCTCCAAGGGTCAGGGATGGTCAGGGTTTGGGGTCTAACGGTTAAGGTTTATGGGTTTAGGTTCTGGATGCACGGGACTTCTTCACTATAGGGATAACAGCTAACAGAGGTTGCTATAAGCCTTTTGGGGGCTACAAGTACACTTACTAAGTCCGCTTGACCTTCCAAGTGAGGCAGAATCGCGAGCCCCCAGAAGTAGGGACCACAATATGTTGGTCCCCGTTTTATAGAATTACCTTTTCTAAACCCAAAAACTTGGATCCGCAAACCCTAAACATCAAACCCTAAACCCTGAAGTCCACATGTCTGCCCTTGCTTCAGAATCATAAATTGATACTTGGGGCTGTGGCTTGGTTTAAGGTTGGTAGGAGGCCGGAAATGCCCGACAAAACGCATCTAGAAGGGGACCGAAAATTGGTCCCCCTTTGGCAGAGTCCGAAGAAAGTTTTAGCCAGTCTCAACACATGTCTGGGTTTTCCGAAGCCTCAGCTGGTTCCCGTTACGCAGGGCCCAGCGGCCCTGTTACGGAAACCGGCCAGTTCCTGTTACGGAATTGGGGCCGGTTCCTGTTACACTCCACTGTTACAGACGATCGGTTCCTGTTACTTCCAACCCTCATGCCATTCGTAGTGGGTGGCATACCTTTGGAATCAAAATGTCGTCTCACCGTTGAAGGTTCGCCAACTGTTTGTCTGATTGGAAATCCAGCTGATTGTTCTAGAAGTTCAGGCACATGAAAGTGTGCATATGTGCGTAGGTGGCAGTGCTTAGGCATGCATGTACAGTTGTTTGACATCTTCTGCACGCGTACCTGCGACTAAGGAAACTGACTAAAGAAATTCTGATTTCTTCTCGAGAGTTGGGGTGAAGGGCTTGAAAGGCACCATTGCGATGTTCTCATTAACCCTCTCTGCCTGTCGCACCATTGACAAAGCTCCCTGTGTATCGCCGAGCACGCGTACTGCACAGACCTATACTGCTTGAAATCTAGGCACAGGCCCTGGCCCCTCCACGAGGTCCACAAAGAAAAGGTTATGGAACATGTTGCTCTTCCTCCCGTTACCGTCGGGATTGCGGAACTCCCGCTTCAGAAGCCTCGCTCAAGGTCAGAGATAGGCCAGGCAATCAGACTCAAGGAATTGCTGGGCATCCTGCGCGGAGCTTTTCTGAATGATGCTGTTCTGCTGTACGGACGATGATAACTCGGTCCAAGAAGATGCAATATGCTGTACTTGTGCTGAGGTGGTGCCCAACAGTATGAATCGCATGCCATGCCACCGACATGGATCCATCCGAAGACACGGCCATCATCGATGTGCCGAAGCGGCTATGCCTGGATGACCTCGAAGTGGTGCGCATGGCTGCTTAGCAAAGAAAGGCAGAGGAGAAGTGCCGAGTTCACTGCGCTGGCGCCAGGAGCTGGCATATAAGTTTGTTCATGCTTGCAAGCATGAAATCACACACTGCTAGCGCACCTTCTGGTCTGCTTTGTCACGAGCCAGTAGCTCCGCTAGATCGTTCTTGGGCCTCACTGCAAGAGTTTTCTCCACTGCCCGTCCATGCAGGAGAGGTGCATTGAAGCCTGTTCCCTTCGCTGAGCGCTTAGCTTGCCTTGCTCTTTGCGATTCGTGAGGAGCTCCTCGAACGGAATGACATCAAGAACATGTCATCACGTTAATTAGCCTGGCAATCCTGGCAGAACAATCTCTCAAGCCGCATCTTTGTTGACAGCTGCAGACTCTGCGGTCATAGACGGCTCCGCTCCGCGGGTGAAGTCGATGATGCGTGAGTCGCTTCTACAAGAAATGTAGTGCTGACAGGGAAGTGATCTGAAGGATACCGACCACTTGCCATGGTGTCCGTGATGACCTTACAACGCAGCGGGCGCAATCGTGTGCTGCCATTTGAGTGCAAGGCATCCTGAAAGAGGATCCAGTCAATGTGGCGGCTGTCGTGACGTGTTCCGTGTGATAAGTCAACGGTTCCGTCCCCGCACGCGTCCGTGAATGCCACCCCCTGCCACTTGTGGATTGTGCTTCGCACACCTTCGGAAACCTCCACGTTGTCACACCGGAAGACATCCTTCATTGGTCGAGCTGCTGGAATGGCTTCGTGCCGGTTCCTGACAAGAATATCGTATGCTTCACTGGACTTTGGTGAGTTAAAATCACCGCACAAGATTTGTGCACAGGCGGACATGCTGATAGAGAATTTTGCGATAGATTCGGAAATCATCAGGGCTGACTTCAAGCGGGCAACTGATCCCTGGTGGTCGAAGTGGGTATTCAGGATTCGCACCTGACTTCCGCCGGATCCGAGGATCTCAAGCAGCAGAGCCTCACACGTTCGCGGGAATTGCGCATCCCAACCTGGCTTGCCTTCTGGGCAACCGGGCGGCGACAGCCAGAAGACTGAGTAGTCCAAAAGCCGCACACGGTGGGTATCAAGCAGAAATCCAGCGGCCTCGTCCTGCTTGTCTGGAAACCGGGATGTGGCTTTCCATTCGTAATTTCCATCTAGATGAAGACACACATCTCGCAGCATGGACATGGTCGCTTCTTGCACACATACAACAGCTGGCTTGTATTTTGCTATCAGAGCAGAGATTCCTTCACGTCTTTTGGACCAGACATTCTGGGGATCCTCCTCATTGGCAGTCTCAGTTCTCAAGTTGAAGCTCCACACATCGATTTCACAGTGGCCAGGGGCCGTTTGATCTGCCATTGCTGAGCAACTTCGCACAGCCAGCTGTGGCACTCTGGTCTCCCGCTTGCGTGAGCTCGATACGAGCAAACGGCCAGCAAGAAGCTCCCAAACGTGACCTGCATGACCTTTCGGTCTCTGGCGCTGCTTATGCGGGGCCATCAAGCGCATGCAGCGCAGGGTGGCTAAGCCTGACACGCCAGGGCAGGCACCCAGCACTCTGCCCACCTTGAGCATAGTCGGCTGACGGACTGTCTTGACTTTGTGTCATGCCAATCTGTCTAGCAGCATTCGCTGATGCCCCGGCAATGATGAACATTTCTTTACTTCCTTTAAAAAAACAGATGAAACAGTAGCATCGCCTGGACAGCCACACTTAAAGCAGCCGAAACTTATCCAATGGCTTTCCCATACGACAAGACTGCAAAAACTGCATATGTCATTGACTTTGTTGAGACAGGATGCTCCGTAAGCGAAACCTATGCTCGTCGGCACAGATTCAGCTACATGATTCAGTTTCTATTCGCTTACCTGTGAGCCGCCGATCATGTCAAGACATGAGAGCTGAGTGATCGGGCGCCTCGGGATCAAAGTGGGCGCAAAGATGGTAAATGATGTCGGCCAGTGCCCAGACCTGTCAATCATGTGGGTTCCCCAAACTCATTCCAAAAGACTCCGGAGTTTGTCTCGGGATCTGTGAGGGCCTGCTGTGTGTCCTCCTGAGCCTGGGCTGTCAGCTCATTGCCCAGCAGCAGGAAGAAGGCAAGAACGCCTGCAATAGAAGTCTGCCAGCACGATCTTGGACAAAGCTTGCACTGTCCCTGCAAGCCCGCTAAGCCTTCTTCGCAAAAGTTTCGAATGAAGGTCAACCTGACGACGCTCAAAGCAATCTTTTCAGATCCTGCCAACAAATGACCATGGATCAGGCCAGTCCGGCCAAACCAGAAACGAGAAAGCTGCTGCAACACATGGTTGCTACACCGACGTGTTTTGAGAGATGCTCGGGGAGTTTATGCCTGATCAGCCCCAACCATTGATTCACTGTTCAAGCCCTTAATCACAGCAGGAACTAGGCACAAAATTTAGGCCAAGGAAAATCAGGCCCGCTGCAACTGTGAGTATCTCCTACTAGTACCGTACAAGCAGCCCTAATGTTTCCAGTCTCTACATACATTATTGATATTATATATATATGTACACTTTTACATACACTGCCGCATTCTGAGAAGCTGACTGCATCCTTCGCCTCAAGGGCGTAAAGCCTGTGTCACCAGGGCCCGGGTCTGGAACCTGCAGCCCAAAATCCTCATGCCAGCGACTTACGGGACCACACAGGAGCTACAGTCAAAACGTCTCATAAAAATATGCCACCCCCCCCCACCCAACCAATGCTCACCCTTAACCCCCTTGTAACTCTGGCATTGACAGTAGCTCACGGTGAGTTGCACAGATAGGGCTCCTCTGCCTGCCATGATCCACTCTAAGGCCATCGCAGACACCAGATTTCGAAGTAGGAGCAAAACATCCTGCGAGCTAATCGCTTGAACATTGAACTCCAGATGCAAAAGCTGTGCAGGAGCCGCCTTGAAGAGGAGCGTGCTGCAACCTTCCTGGCAATCAATATTTACAAGAAGGACAGGCAAAGGAGTACACCAGTGCTGTGCAAAGGCCTCTCCATCCAGAGCCCCCACAAGCAGCCGAACCAACATTGTGAAGACTGTCGACTTTGTGAAAGCCTCCTTGTACTCCTGACTAGTGAAAGCAGCTCACAGACAGCTTCCGAAGCCCAAGCAACGTGCCTGCAGGTGCCGGAGCTGCTCCCGCTCTTGCTCTTGCTGCATCATGCGGTCTGCCACAGGCGGGCCGTAGGAGCCTTTTTGAAAAGAACATCTGAGCAGGATGGTGAGGCAAAATGGGCAAGATTCCAATCCACGGCAATACAACTCCTGACTGGTTGGCTTATGGATTGCTGGAGTGCGCCTACACGTTCAGTGAGGAGGGTCATGAGCTTCAACACATGGGAAGCCAGTTCCGAGTCCTGCCAGTCTAGTGCGCGATGATGCAAGACTCTCAACTAACAACGCCGTTGTGCCTCGCTGTAGGACGTGAGCAGGGGAACTATCTTTCTGGGCAGAACCTTCCAAAAAGATTATGTTCACAACGACTCTGCTTCTGTCCAAGCTTTTATTTGCTTGCCTGCCATTCCCCCAGCTTTGCTCTCACGCTACCGGAGTCCTGACAAGGCCCAGTCAAATCATGTTTGCCAGTCGGGCAGATTCTCCGCGTGAAAACATGGCGGTGTCCGTTTGCGCGAGAGCTTTTTCCAGGTCTTGGCATGAAGTGAGGCACCTGCAAGACAAGTAGCAGAAGGCTTTCCGAACCTCAGCAAACCCTGCATCTCCGTTTGAGCTGAAGCACTCGTCTCGCTGACGATATAGGTATGTGGACCTTCCATCGACCTGTCCGAGGACCACAGGCGCTGGACAAGGACAAAGCTCACTTACAGACAGGCTCAACTTCAACGTCAACATTCTCAAACGATGAACTCAACGAACCACGTCAGGTGTCATGAACGTAGTGATCCTAATGCAGCTGCGCCTGGTGAAAGTCGCCTAGGCCGAAGCAGGTGTCAAAGAGGTCCTGCACGGCCTTTGATTGAATGTGTATGAATGCATGTTTGTAGGTACCGCCTAGCACCATGTGATAAGGAATGGGTACAATTTTAGGACATGGTCTTGGGAGGAAAATCTAGGAAACACGCTGCACTTATCCTGGTCTGCCAGCTACGTAACACTCCACGTCGTCCCGGAAGCTTTGCTTTGCAAGTCTCTGTAATCATTGCATTGAAGTTGAGGCAAGGATGAGTGCCTGGCCGTCTCATCTCTGGCTGGGGCTGGAAGGCCAGAGTCTGATCTCTCCATGAGCTCGGTCCGTCTCAGGACACAGCTGCGCTGTACACAACCCCCCAGCCCATACCAACCCTTCCTAACACCGAAGGGTGCTGTCTTGAGGCAGGATGAGGCAGGTGAACCAAGCAGACAGCCACTGCAACGGAGGGACAGCAAAAAGGTGCAGTGAAACCTGGATGCCACAGTGCCAACATTTAGAGGCCATGCAACGGGAAATTCTTGTGCCATGCACAGAAGCTGCACAACTGCAAGGCCATAAACGTTTGCATCGGAGCTTTGCCGAGGCTCTCTGCACACGACAAAACGATCCAGCTCCGCTCATGCCCGTGAAACGTTCCTACCTACTTTGCATCGCTGTCGTTCTACTTCAGTGATAGAAGTACAATAGGCTTTCACCATGGTCTATCAAAATGAATTCCAATACGAACACGCTAGCACCATGCCTAGCAAGCTCTCAGCCGAGAACCAAGTTGGACTGGCCGCCCGGAGCCTGCTTTACGACCTGGGGAGACTGGCCCAGGAGTTTTGGTCGGTAAGGCATGGTGCATCTCAAGTCAGCACATTCCTAGTCCCTCCTAAAACAGCCTATGAGGCATGCACAATTCCAGGTCTTGGATGCTTGTCGCTGCGCTGATCATTTGATGGCAGGACCTGAACCACAATTTCCACAGACATCCCCCAAGACACGCTAAGTTTGCAGTAAACATATTTTCTGGCTCACACCAGCCTCAAGAGCCTTACGCTCCTTGTCGGCACCTTCGCAGCAATGTGCGCAAGCAGCTTGCCAGCTTCGCCTCTGCCATTGCGAGCCTAGTGAGGGCAGCGAAGCGGCTATCGGCCTGAGCTTGTGCTTACACTTACATTGCTTGCAAGTCGTTAAATTGACATTGTCGCTCTCCAAGTGCAATCGGGAAACCCAGCATCAGCCGGAACAAAGACCACAGGTTTGGAGAACATTCCTGGGGGGCCATTCCAGCTTCATTGAACCAAGCAGAGTATGTCCTGACCTGACAGCTTCTCTATGTGAACCAAGCGGTCGTTGAGGTCCTTGCAAAACAGTCACATCTTGCTGCACAACCACGAAGAAAAGCAGCTCCTTCTCACGCTGCTTCTGGCCGATCGTTTCTATCTTGAAGGGCAAACTCATTTGCGCTCTCTCCACTTCAACCTTTCGCTGCCTCGATCAGGGGAAGCATCAAGACTCCGTGTGTACTTTGTACGTCTCACGTGCTGCACCTTAAGACGTCCAGCGTTTCTTGCCGCTCATCCTCATCTACTTTTCTGTAGCCTGGCCTTGGCATCAAAGTTTGAGAACCAAAAAAACGCAGCTTGCAGAAATGTTTACAGCTGTGTACAAGTTTGCCAAGGCTGTGGCGGAGGCTGTGGTGAGACGGGGCGTGCAGCCCGTCTCTTCTCCTCGATTTCTCGAGCTTACAAGTGACACGGGCTCGATACTGCTTACGTTTTACACTCCTGTCCTCTGCGAGCTCCTCCTGACGTCTCTTCAAGTATGCAGGAACCTGTGAGTAAATCTCATCCCCCTCATGCAAGCAGAGTGCACCGATGTTGCAGCACACCTTGCCCACATCCTTGCGATCTATGGGAGGAGCCGCATCACCTCCGCAAGGGCACCAAGGGGCAGCAAGAATCAGCTAAAATCCATGTGCGGTGTGCTTAAGGTCAGGACCTATCCGAATCTTCTCTGGTGCCCTGTTGGGCGTCAAGGAGCGAGCCTGGACAAGTTGCTTCTGCCAACTTCCTTCCACCTTCAAAACCCCGGGTGCATGCTGAACCTTGGCTCGCGCAGCCCCAGGAGCACCTCGGAGTCATGGCATCTTATGGCCCTCCCGCCCATCACCATCTCATGAAAAAAATGCCTGATGGTCATAGCAAATGTCACGCCTGAAATGCATGATGCAGACTCTGGATGGTGACAAACGACAGCGACCGCAAATTGGGTTGGCATTGAGATGACGACGCTGCGGAGGACAATCAGGACCGACAAGAGGAGGACCAGGAGCAGGAGCAGAAGCAGGAGGAGGGGGAGGAATCGTGGCTGATGCAGATAAACGTACTTTAAGACCGTGAGGAGGGGGTGCTGATGATTATGATGATGCAGGTGGCGCTACAACTTCAGAAATTGCGACAATGATGCTGATTCTGCTCATCATGAGGATCAGGATAGTGGCAACATAATACTGGTTGGAGTAGCCATATGATGACCATGCTGAGCATGCTGACAACCATGTGCTGGCTTGTTATGGCAATTCGTAGTGCAGAGATGAAGCTTCCTTTACTACTACCATTACTACTTACTGTTACTGTAACTGTTCCTATTCCCATTACTCATCCCATCACTATTAATTACTGTTAGGAGTGCTGTTTACCATTGATGTTAGAAGTTCTGTTCATATTCCTCTTCCCATTACTATTCCTATTCCCATTGCTATTCCCCCTACTTGTGCTAGTACTAGCCCCCCCCCCCACCTAGGGACTACGTTTTACTTAAAACTGATTATGAATTCCCCGCGGAGGCGGCGAGTAGCAGTAGTAACGTTGATATAGTGGGTGCTGCTCGGACCTATCAGCAGTGGGTCAAATGGGCCATTTTGTAGGGGCTCAACGTGGTTGTATCTGTGAATATTATCACCCTGTTGATGGTGCAGGAGGGCAGCAGCGATGCAGGCCTCCGAAATCTGCATTTCGGAGGTCAGGTTTTCACACTCGCGTTGCCCCTTTGTGAACTGTCCGAGATGAGCGCCTAAGCGCAACATTTACGCGTTTTCTGTGAGACATAATTTGTTCGCGGATTTGCCGCGGCAAGTTCAACATAGCGCCAGTGTATGGCTGCCACTCCCAGCACAGTCGCTTATTGCGGTTGTCGAAGCTCCACCAGCCGCGACATCTGAGAGTTACCTCCCCCTGGGCTTACGACTTGCGTGAGCTGTTGGTCGGAGAACCCCCCCCCCAACCCCTCCCCTTGCACAAACATGTCGTCCCCATTAGGAGTGGTCGGATTACCGAGTGTGGTCTCTTTGCACGGAACCTTCCCCCCCCCCACCCCTCCCCGTACACCAACCTGTCGTCCTCATGATAATGTTAAGTAGAGTGTACTCGGGGGGGGCACCTAGTGCTAGTATCACTACATCATTGTTGATACCATATTGCGACGATGACGGCACTGATGACATTACAGGGGGCCAGAGAAAAGGATATAAAATCATCATCGTCATTGATACCAGGTAATCGACATATCATACTAAGGCTGATGCAAGGATAGTGCGTCGACCCCTTGGGTGACAAAACAGTTTTCCGAATCCACTTCAACTTGTTGACTCAATGTCTATGCCTGAATACCTGAGACTGCCTGAAATGGAACAAATGCCAAGCCCGCTTTGATCACAGGACGTCATCTATCTGTTGCACCTCGGCCGGCTCTGGAGGGCACAGAATCCTCGTCTTCGTTGCCTCAACCGGACAGCAACGGCTGCTTCCCGAACATGCCAATTCTCTTCTTTCTCTGTGGCCTGGCCTCGTGGGGGCTCACTTGGAGCTCTCCGGCCTTGCGGTGCATGCATGTTTCTGCAACTCTTTCTGTCAGTTGACAGATGTTGACAGTGCATGCGGGGCACTGCCTGCACCGTCGCGTGCCAAGGACCTCGGTCGCGGCCTCCTCTCTTCACTGGGCCTGGTCAAGCTTCCCATTTGTCTCGTCCGCATTATGAAGGTACTCTGAAAATGTTTTGTCCTGCCTCCGAGGGTGCGCGGAGCCAGCACTTGCGGGGCTTTGCGTCTGCCCTGCAACTTGCCCGCATGATCAACAGTGCACCATGGTGTACAGTAGTGGTTCTGCCTGGTGTCGGCTTAGGCCTCAGATTGCCGCAGTCAAACAAGCTCAAACAGTAGCCAAAGTCCAGACATCTCGTCCAGCCTGGGAGGCCGCCCGTAGCCGCTGCGCTGCGGTGTGCCCACCTCTGCCTTCACAGGGTTTGCAAAGCTCAAGGGCTCACCCCGGGCTGGGATAACTTCAGCTGACTCATCCCTGTACTGGCCCCAGCGCACTTGCCATTCAGAAGAGCCACTTCTACCATGGGAAAGGCAGGCATTACGAGTACCATGCGCCTGTACAAGTGGAGAGCCACATCGAGCAGCCGGCGACTCTGGTGCTGTCTGGGGAGAGGGAGGTGCCTTAGCAAAACCACTGCTAAAAGATGCTTCATGTTTGACGAAGTCGAAGTTGGAAGCTGTGCTCAACACACGATCCATGGGATGCACCTAGGTACGAAGAAGCTGAAATGCATGCTGCACTAACAAGAAGCTCGGCCTTGGCAGGCTCCTTCGCCCTGTTCATCATGATCTCGCGCAGGGACGGCATCTGGTCAGGGCAAGCTTCGCCTTCTACTTCGCATTACTTCGCATGCTTCTGCTTGCTGCTCACACCTCGAAGCTCCCAAGCACGACGGCCATTCACGATCGCAGTGGCATGTTGCGTGCAGGATGCTAACCTTTGGTCAAAGAAGCTACAGTAGTTCCAAGCAATGCTCCAGCTTCTCGAATGGAGACTCCCACTGCCCTGCAAAGCTTTGCGAGTTGATTTTCATGACACTCATGTTTGACAGCTCACCTGCAATGCCGGCGTGCAGCTAGATGCAATATCTCCATCAAAGGTGACAAATTGGGACAGCTAGTCCTTCAGCAGAGGGCCCTTTCACGGACGCGTTGGCTTTGGCGGTTCGCAGCCGACTTTGGGCGTGAAACGGAGGGAGGCTGCGTTAGCCCCAGGGGCTTCTCGTCTCGGCTTTCCGGTCCTCGCTTTTGCTCGCCAAAATGCTGAAGCACACTCAGCATATCTCTGCATGACATGGCATTGGGCTATTCCATGTGATGGCGAGTCCTGCGTATCCCAAGGAGATCTTGGCTTGTGGCTTGCCTGGGCGGCAGCCTGCATCAGGTTGCCCATCTTGGAGCAGCCGTCATGTTGATAGCCAGAACCTCACCTCTGCCTCGTTTGGCCAAGTCCTGGGTTGCGTCGAAGTGTTGTGTGGTCTACTGCACATGGCTTGAGGCACAAGCGCGGCTGGCACGGGCCACCCCGACGTAGATTGCCTCCCAGACGTGGACACTGGGACACTGCGATAAGATGACATCTGGCATTGCTGTGAACCCGAGCAAGCTTCAGGACAGCACCAGCTGCCGCCGTTAGAGTAACCAAGTGAGACTGGTCGCCCCTGACGCCAGATTTCTGCACATGTTTGCACCCACAGGAAACCCTGTGCTGCCTGTATTATCTCGCCGCCTTCAGAAGAGAAGGCCTGCACCGTATTTCACGTAGTCCGGCTGCGTCCAGCTAATGAAGCCAATGCGGATGAAAACGAAAGGGCCTCCTGGGAGCTCGACCTGTGCGCAAACACGTGCATGACGCAATGCTTGTGACAGTTGTCGATTTACATATGTATGTGCATATATACATATATATATATGTACACATACATGCTTGGAAGGTCCTCAGGGTCTGGGCCCAAGCCTGTTGGCTTCATTGCTTGCATTGGGACTATACAGAGTTTTTGCGCGCGATGCTCTTGGCTTCATTGGGATAACATTCTTGCCCTCCCGGATCCTACACATTTCAAAAACGCTGTCTTGTCCCAATAAGGCCAATCATAACTAGCAGAAATGCTGCACTGTCTTAATGAAATCAATACAACCGGGCTCCCAAGACTCCCAGAACCTTGAATTTATTGGTTGTTGCACGCCGAAAAATCCAAAACAAAATGTCCTCGTACACCAGGAAAGGCAAAAATCGCTGTACTGTCCCAAAGGAAACCAATAAGACAAGAGTTTGGGCTCCCCAGTGACTCTGAACAACATGGGTTTGTTCATATGAGCCATAGACTAAACTCCTAGCATCCCCCTTAACATCCCCTATAGTAATCCCCTATATATTCTCTTCTACCACCCGTTTTAAGGAGCTTAGAAGGCCATACAAATCAAAGACCGTCCATGAGTGGGTGGATTCCTGATTGAAACAGATTATACTTTAATCTGGCTTCGGTACTTCAGACCCCTTTAAAACAGGATATTATAGGATAATAGGATATAGAGGATATTATATATGCGGGTTATACAGGGTTTAGGGTTTAGGAAAATTACGCCCCATACAATGGAAAATGAAATGGGTACTGGGATTCTATAGGGGTTTTGGGGATTGGGGCTTAGAAAAATTCAACTACCACGTAATCCAGAACTATGCTGGAATGAGCTGAATCCGAATTGTAATCGCGTCACCCTAATAGCGAATGTATTGCGAATATTGCCCCCCCCTGCCCCCACCGATAGCAAACCTCTCGATGTTTCTTGAAAGACTATAGGGTCCCTTTTAGTGTCCATTCTACTTCTATAAGAGAACCAATGATATTCTAGTCATTTCAGACGAGTTCTAATCACATCTTCATTCATAGGAGTTCCTGTCCAACAACCTACAACCCGAATATAACCCTTTTTGACCCCAATATAACCCCAATATAACTTGAATATCCGCCGACCCCTGGGGCGGC